CCATTTTTCAGCCAATGTACAACACCTACAATGACTTCTCAATTATTGGTTGTTTTTAGCTCAGGAAAATAGATTTCCCGGACGAGCCCCCATTTGTTTGTCTGATTAGTATTAAAACAATGTATCAAGAATACGAATATAATGAAAAATGATCATCTGTTAAAACCCAGTCTGACGGCATTTCGTGTTATAGTCACGAAATTAATTTAATCTATTGACTCGTGTTCACCAACACGATTTTCGTGTTACACAGAACGATTTTAAAAGCAATGTATTTCTATTGGTGGTATGTTTCGTACTTGCACCACGTCTTTTTGTCCGGTCTGGTTTTCGAAGACCAGAAGCTTTGTGGTTCATAAAAACATTTTCTTACTCAATATCTTACCCTAAGCCTAACCCTTTAATTTAAAATTGTATAATGTCAGTTTTTTTTGCCGTCCGTGAGGAAAAGAAATGGGGCTCAGAGCCTCAGAATACTGAAATCTGTATTTGTTGTCATCTTTTTTTCCTTCTAATTTGTTATTATTTGGTGCAGGCACGAATCAATAGATTAATTTCGTGACTATAACACGAAATGCCGTGAGACTGTGTTGTCTGTTATGTAGGTTTGGAGAATATGTGCTAAAGCTGCTCTGAGGGCTTCTAAACATGTACAAATTAGAGATAGAAAATGACACGTTGAAACATCAGATATCGGTTTGACATCATTTATTCGCCCAGCTGTTCAGTCGTTATCTCTGTAACAATTTAAACACAGCAATGTAAAACAAGTTTCAACAGAAACTTTATCAAAATATACAATTTCAAATATCCAGATAAAAAGCTATAAATATTACAAAGCGTACTGTTACAGGTGCATGTTCAATCACATTCACTTAGAGTCCAACATTTGGCAGGTTATCAGATGTTCAGTGCTACAGACCTGAGTTCATTAGGAATCATTTAATCAAATCCACAACGACAACATGGCTTCATTTACTGAGGAATACACATGAGCACAAAACTAAGACTCAAACTCTGAAGATACTTCATCCACAAAACGATTAATTGCATATCAATTACTCATTGTGTGCAGCCATGAAAAAATAATGTTTTTAACAATAAAAGAGAAAATGGGTTGACTGATTGTTATAAAAATCATCCTTTTGTCAGTTTTCCTTTTAAAGGAATAAAGTTAATTACAACTTCCTTCTGAAGTTTCATTCCGCAACTGACATCTGGTGACATCACGACAGAGAGGTCAGAGACAGGTCCGGGACGACGACAAAGCAACAGCTAATCCAGATTATTGAACCTCTTCCTGAGCCTATTTGAGCTAAATACCCCTTATGCATGATAGCACAACCCCGGTGAGCCCCCCCCCCATTAAAAATGACACTTTGTCTTTAAGATTAGAGAGAGAAACATCAGATACCAGTTTTGTTCTCAACTGTAAGGATCTATAGAAAGTGAAAGTCTATAACTCAGTCCAACCTCTGCGTTCCTTCATTATTATTAACTTAATTAGTGACTGATTAGTTAGAATTTTAATTCATAAAGTTTTAACAGCGTGGCAGTGCACATATTTCTGTGATTTTAGGAAATGTTTCAATAACAAGATAAGATATGCTATTATAAAAACCACGTCTGGAGTAAAATCCTCACCCCCCACATCACATACTGCTAGTCCGGGCACATTGAGAGTGATTTGTGCTCTAACCACTGTGTCTCTATAGGATCCACACAGTGCTCAGAGGTGTCTGAAGGCACACAGCTGCACCCCCTCCCTGCGGTAGAGTGCCAGCAGGGTGGGGTCCCTCAGCACGCCCAGCTCGTGCTGTCTGTCAGCGGACTGGGAGAATTCGTCGGGGCCCTCCCCACAGCCCCCCTCCTGGGGGAGACTGGGGTACCCCGGGTGGACCATGAGCTCTGCTGTGACCACAGGCTGGTGAGAGCCTGCTGACCCGCTGGAGGGAGAGCCTGGGGGCCCCGCAGCCAGCGCCTGGCTGAGGGCCCGCTGCAGGTTGGGGACGGACATGTTCTGGCCCATGGTGGTCAGCCCCAGGTACACATGGGGCCACCTGGGGACAGAGGGCACACAGTCAGTGTGCGTCAGCCAGAGAGAGGACAGAACCACTGCATGCATCAGCAGGTCATTATTCAACCTTCAATTAACAACAACAAGCTGCATCAACTCTCATCAGGGACGTGCAGCAGAGGTGGAAAGTAACTAAGTACATTTACTCAAGTACTGTATTTAAGTAAAATGTTGAGATACTTGAACAGTACTTGAGTATTTCCATTTGATGCTACTTTGTACTTCAACCCCACTACAATTCAGAGGTAAATGGTGTACTTTTACTCCACTACATTGATTTAATAGCTTTAGTTGATTTACAGATCTGGATGAATGATGTGAAATATAATCAACTCTTAAATCAGACTTTAATTCCACCTGGATTAAATTCACAAGCTACCCTGCAGTATACAAAGTCACTCAAACTAGCTGCACCCGAGTACTTTTCCCACCTCTGTGCAGGGCGACACCTCTGGGGATTAATACATCTAATGGGATTCAAATATTTATCAATTTGCGTTTTAATTTAACCTGCAACAATGTCTGCAGGTTTTGAGTAGACAGTGTGTTCGCCCTGGAAAAAGGACAATTAACTCTTTGGTTCACTCTAAAGGAAATCTGTGCACAGCCACTCATTGCATCACATTAATGAAGCCATGCCAACACATGGCTGTGTTAGAGAGATCTCAGCTGATTTGATCACCTGCTCACACATTAATACTTCTGCTCCCTCCACCACTGTGCAGATCTATGAGTGAAAAAGACAGCAGAGTTCAAACACAGTTCCACAGACTGTGTGTGTTGTAAAGTGAATACTCAGCTGTGACACACAACCATTACACAGGGCCGCATACTTTATCATTAATGTTTCACTAAATCTGTCATTAAAGCCACGATACCTGAAATATCATTTTAATCGTCATGAAATGTGGACAAGATAATCAATAGCAGCTCGGTCTGTCTGAGGAACCTGATGATAACAGATTTGGTTCCCTGTACGAATCTATTAAAGGTCCCATGTCATGGCCATTTCTACTGATCATAATTCCATTGTTGAGGTCTACTAGAATAGATTTATATTGTTCAATGTTCCAAACTCACATTGGTTTTTCATACAGCATCTCTGTATAGTATGTATATTCACTCTCTGTCCTAAACGGCTTGTTGGAGCTCCTGCTACTGCCTGCCCCCCCCCCCCTCCGAGCCCACTGTGCTCCGATTGGTCAGCTCGCCCACTCTGTTCTGATGAGTCCACCACCGTTACAGCGGAACATCAGTGATTATGTGTTACAATGGCGTTAGCAACCAGAAAATGACACCAGCAATGACAAACAGATGAGAATGCTGCGTGGGGTCTGGGTGCCGTGTTGGCGGGACGTTGTGGGGCTCGCTGCTGGAGCGGACAGTGTGAGCTGGGTTACTGGTGTGGTTTCCTGGTTGCTGCGTGGGGTCGGCGAGACAGCGAAACCCAGCCTGAAACAGGGTGTTTCATGTCGTCGTTGCTGTGGACCTTCTTAATACCGTGGAAAATGCAGTTTAAAGGTCCCATGTCATCCTTTTCTGGTTACTACCCGTCCCCTTGAGTGTTATGAAGGTTTTATGCATGTAAACGGTGATTGAAAAACCCTCAAAGTACACCCTGTAGCGAGTAAACCTCTAACACAGAAAAGACCTGTCTATGCTGCCCCAGAACGCCTCGTTGGAGATTTCTCTTTTTCCAT